CTCAAAAATGTTTCCCTGTATAACCTTGATATTCTGAAATATCTGCAAAGATCATTCACACTGTAGAGTTTTACTTCTGCTCAGTGTGACATGACATTTTTGGCGAGCACGCCCAGCTACAGTGCTTTGCATTGTATTTGTTAGATTCAAAGATTGGGCATTTGCAATCAGCAAATATCTTGTCACAAGACACCTCTTACCTCCCAGTTGAAGGAAGAGCTGATGAAGTTATGATTTTTGTCAATTGTTCTGCCCAGTGTTAGCCAGGTGAGTTTGTGTTCAAAACAAATCCATTGGATCTCTTTTCTCATTAATTAGAAGCAATTCTTAATTCATAGGAGTGGACACCTGAAGGATGGTGGGCAGGTTTTTCATTATCTCTCTGTTTTGTCCATAATTGAAGCTTTGCTGATGTGTTTATATCAAGCATGTGAGGACACTTCAGATCTACCTTTTTTGAGGGCTGAGATCTTCAATAAATTTCCACTTAAAAGCCCAAGTAGAGTCTCGTAGTTCCCCACGCTGTCTCAAAAGTAGGCCATCCACTGAGAAACTGAGGCATGGGCAAAGATGAGAGAGGAGGTGGAGAGAACTAAGCGAGTGAAAGTGCCAGCGGAGGAAGAGGAGGTGTTCATGAAGGACGGGCTGGGGAGGGTTTGGGTTTATTTTTACCTTTCTGCCAGTATAGACCCACTTTCTAATTAGCTGCAAATTAACTTCCGATAAGCTGAGGGCGGGTGGCAAAGTGCCGCGGCTACAGATATAGACTTGCTTGGCCCTCTCTTCCCTTCCGCTATTAGACTTTCTCTCCGGGGCCCAGGCCTCCGAGGGCCCGCCGTTCCTCCTCTGGCAAGGCCAACATCTGTTCCACAGAACCATCACATCAGAGATGGGTCGGCCTAAATCTGAGCACTCTGGATGAATCTGTACACGGCCAAGCTGCTGTCGCTGTTCTTTTTCCGCTCTCTGCTTCACGTGGAGTTGATCTAGGACATGTATTCCCCAGAGGAGACACTTGAAGGTTTGTTTGTAAAACTGTCAACAGTATAGTTTCATTGCCTCATTTCCATGGTCACCCCTCCGTCAAGTTGGTGTCAGCTGCGTTGTTTCATGCAAAGCCTACTTGCGCACTTGGAGCGAGATTTTTTAGAGATTAAATTCATGGCCCTTGCATCCCGTGAGTGTCTGTCTGATATAAGAGTGATACACAGGAAACCTTTGATATCGAGAGTGTAGTTTACAGTGTTCCTGGGAGAAACACCCGATGGAAAGAGCTAAAAATACCTGTATGATTCGTCAAGGGCTATCATTTCACTGGATGGTACCATCACTGGGATCCCGCACTTCAGAGGATAAGGATCTTAACATGAGACACACACAAAAACATTTAAAATATGGTGTTGACGCACAACTTGCCAATAAACCAACAACTCAAACACGCATTGCATCACGTACTACAATTCCAAGGGTACACACCAAGCAGTAAAACAGCAACTTGCACCATCAGACTGACCTGTTAGTGTAAACTTATGACTGTATGTGACCATTTACATTAGTAGCAGGATATGTCAGGTGGCAAATCTGTGGTTTAAACTTTTCTGTTCCTCTGTCTGCCTGTCTCTGTCTCACTCTCTTTTTCTCTTCCTCCATCCATGTGACTAATGACAAGGTCCAGTGCTTATGTCCTTATATAGACCTATGCTCTGTCTGATCTGGCTGAGGCTGGGATGATTGTGTACACACACACACACTTTCACACACACACACACACACACACACACACTTGGTAAATCTTGAGACATTTAGTTGCCCCTAGAAATATCAGCATATATCAGGCATAAGACCTTGAGTGCATTCATTAATGTGTTAGTATATCTATGTTGGTGGTCTATTTTTAAATCCTATATTCTAGAAATCCTAAGAATAATTTTCACTCTGTGCTTACTTTCTAAAACACATTTCTGCAATGAATTCATACCTTGATGATAAGGGAATAGTTTACTTTGGGAAGTACACTTAAAGCCACAGTCGGTAACTTTTATACAGTTAGTTTTTGTCATATGTGCTGAAACTGTCACTAGATCCACACAGGAGTACATGAAACAGATAGTCCGTGAAGAAATCATATTCCTCCTCCGTGGCTAAAGGAAAGTTTGCTCAGGCTTGCTTCATTTTGGATCAACTGTTTTCAGCGTGGCAGCCAGGCCACAAACTTCCAGCCACAGCTAAACAGTACACTAAAATATGTTTCTATAAACATTTGAGGTGAGAAATAGGCAATGCAGTCGCACAGTCTTGATTCATACTTGATCAGTGCTGCCTAGTTTAACTGTTCAACTGCAGTTCATTAACTGTGATTGACATGATTGACAGCTGCTTTAGAGACTCCTCAGCTCTGATTGGTTGTTTTAGCAGGCTACAGTATACAGTGTCACATTGCTTAGGACTGGATATTGTTTAAAAAAATGATGATACCAGTACAAAAACCAGTACTCTTAAAGTGATATCGATGTCAATAGAGTACATCATTTATACCTTTTTTTCTACTTCATCTGACACCCATCCTGTGAATGGGAGCATTAAGTTGTTCAAAATGCAACCATACTGCTGATCTTCCAACTTCGTCGAACACACTGTGCTCAACTTCACACCACAGACTGTATGATTTGTAGTTGCTGCTAGAGTGGCCCAAACACATGTTGCATTAAATAAAAGACTACTTGTGGTGATTGGCTACGAGAAAAAAAACATACCAATAGTCATTTTTTTTTCTAGATCTGGGAACAAAAATGATCAAATGCAAGTATTGTTTGACTGGAGAAATTTTGATACTTCTTGGTTCCAGGTTATTTTGGTTGATACCTTAAATGTATAGAATACTGATGTCCAGCCCCAGTGTTGGTGGCCATGCCTTTCCACCCAGGATCTCAGCCAGACATCTTTTTTTCACTCCTTTTTTGGCCTTCTCAGCACAAATTAAACTGCATAGAAATAGTGCAAGTTTCCAGTTACCATCCATGTTTATTTTGGTACAAAAACAGGCAACAGTGGGCATTCTCGCTGGATTTGCAGGGGTCATCTACTGCTGGAGCCCCAGTCATTACTGAGCAGTGGTTCAGTGTCTTGTCTTGTGTGTTTACTGAAGTTATTGCTCCACTGTGACTAAGATGACCGGAATGACCTAGATGAGAATAGTCCTACTTTTTAGGTTGGTGATGTGTAACATTAATAAATCAAATGTTAACTGTTCATCAGGTTGATACTGATTTTATTTCCTGATTTAAACTACACTAACATTTCAGAGTGAAAGTTGGTGAGTGTAAATTTTAAGTTTTTTGTTTTTTTTTGTCAAAGTCAAATTTTTTATAGATACAGTTGTCATGGTGATGAGATATTTGGTGTATTTTGCGCCCTGTTGCCATCCAAGGCTACTGCACCTACTTCTGTAATATATTAGGGCTTTGTTACAGATACCCACAGAGCCTGCAGATCCCTGGTGTATTCTTATTATAGACCAGTTTTGTTAGGACAAACTCTGGAACACACACACACACACACACACACACACACACACACAGAGCTGTTCATCAGACCTAGTTATCGACATAGGGAGATCTCTCCTTAAATGGTAGACTGCCCAGGGCCCTGTCTCTGTTTCCACTGCACAAACCAAATGGAGTCGAGGTCTGGGAATAGCCTTTTAAAGTGGAGGGGAGAGAGGGAGGGAATGACAGATACAGGCAGAGCAAAAGAAGGTGAGAGAAAGAGAGATGGTGAGAGGCTTCCCCATGCCCTGGAGAACGTAATTCGTGACCCTGAGAGAAAGTTACTGTAATTGGAGGAAGGCAACTTTCTGTCAACAACAGCATGTGGTTATAGATATATTAGATAAATGGATATACATACATCTCCTACTCAAGACCCAATGTGTTTGTGATCAAAAGAAATCTTACATGTTTGTCTGAAAGTGTCAGTCGGGTCTAACAGGACGGTATCCAGGAGCCTGTTTACACTTGGTATTATCATGTGTTTTGTTGATCCAAACACAAGTGAACAGCTGAGGCCTATCGCTGTTCACACCTGTAGTTATCATGTCAAGGTCAAAGGGCACTGCACACAGTTATTATGTCCACACTCTCGCTAACTGCTTGCTAGTCATGTTAGCAGTTGTGTCTTTACAGCTGGAGATATTGCTGTTAGCAGATTTAAATACGTTTCCTTCCATTGTGCAAAATAATGGACAGTCACGCAATACTTTGTCCAGCTCCTCGTCCAATGGGCAAGCTAATGTTAGCGCTAGGTAAGTGTGCTGTCATCCAAACAACCACCACATCATGAACTGATGACGTAGTCATTGTCGAGGATGCATTAGTGTTTACACGACAAAAGATATGTGGTCCAGACCACCTCGGCAAGTGGTTAAGGTGATGGGATCGCAATGTGTCTTGGTAGTCATTTACACTTGTATTAAATGCACATCACCTAAGACTTGGGATGGGCAATATGGAGAAAATCAAATATCACAATGTCCCAAATACCTGATATTGCAACAATATGCTGGGGTTGACTATTTGTGCTTTGACAGCATATTTACACAATGACATTTTTGATAAATATTCATCAGTCATGTCATGTGGATATAATAACTCAGTGGGTGAAGTCAAATATTAGAACAGAACAGTCTGGTAAGTTCAGAAAATGACATCACTTTACTGTAATGCAGCTTTTATAACCAGGAAAAGACAACGCTTATGATATTGCAGTATCCAAAATCAATATCTATTCTCATATCACAGTATCAATATAATATTAATATATTGCCCGGCCCTACCCAAGTTGCATGCTAATGGAACAGGCGCCAGGCAAATTACATTATCCAACGCAACCAATCTGGCATTTGTAACAAGTTAAAAGGCACTTTGAAACACATCGGATCTGTGATGTTGTCAGAAAATACTGTTAATGATGTCAGTAACATCTCGTCTTTTCTCTCTTTCCAGCCTGAAAATCTACAGAAAACGTGGCTGAGGGAGTTTTATCAGGTAAGTGATACAGTATCCAGCCTCATACATACATACGACTGTTACTACAAGTAGCACATCACTGTTTGGGGTCTCAGCTGATTCACTGGCACCCCACCTGCTGGTCTCATGATCCTCCACATGGCCAGTTTGCTGCAGCTGAAATAAGAAACTCCTGCTTAACATAATGAAAGTGCTATCTTAGCCTCTGGCTGCAGACAGTAATACCTTGCTTGTTCGTTTTTCAGCAGAGGGTTGTCAAAGCTTAGATATCATAAATAAATTGAAAAGTTATCATTTAAATTGAACTTGACAGAATATTATTCATATGACATCAAATATTATTTAACAGAATTTTTTTCTGAAAACACATTGATAATACGGGCTATTGTAGAGACAACCCAGGCTTAAAATGCACTTTTTTTTATTATACTATAGCTTTTACTATTGCAACGTATGTTATCACAATTGTAACATTCTCATGTCCACATCACCCTTTCTCTAATTTGCTATAGTGGTAGTACAGTGGATGTACTGTTCATTGCAGGCCTGACACATTTTGCTATAGCTTCAAGTGTTGTCATGGGACTGTGACCACAAACCTTGAGCCTAGTCCACATGAATTTCTTGTTAAGTTGAAGCTCTGTATATTAGGTCAACGTAGGGCATGTGCTTCCTATAGCTTCAGCGTCTTTTTGTAAAGAGAAAAATTTTAACCTAGTTCTGCTGAAACCTGTGATGCACTTGCTTTTTAGTCCAAAGCTTCAATGTCTTTTTATAAGAAAAATCTTGCAGACTAATGTTGTGTAAAGCCGCCGTGATCTTATTCACCTCATTTTCACCCCTAAATGCATTGTTTTTTCAGAGAGCAAAAGCTTGAGCTCAGTCATGTTTCATATCGTACCTTTTCATCTACATAGGAACCCCTGACTAACCACAACTCTTTCCACTGGGGTAAGGGAAGTGAGGCAGCTAGAACTCTCAACTGCTGTCTAAAAGTGACAGACAGAGAGAAGAGAAGAGAGAGTGAGTGAGACGCAGAAAGTTTTGCTGCGATAACCGACATTTTTCTTCACTTCTCTGGTGTGGTTGTGAAAAGGTGAATTCAGTCTACAAATACATTCAGATATTTTTATGAAAGTGTCACTTCCCGAGGGCATATCAATGCAGATTGGTGCAGTGAAAGTAGAAATCAAATTTAAAATTCATTTTTGTTTGTTTCTGTATGTGCACTTATTTAGTGCAGAATTGAAGAAAGAAAAGAAAGGAAACTTTGATACCTTTTTTTCTGTTGTGATAGCACCTCCTGTAGTTTTTGGTTCTAGCACTGGTACAGTAGTAGTGCAGATTGAAATTTTTGGCTAAATCTGACATTCTGGTGCGAATTCTACAATGACAAGACTGTGTTGGTGGGGGCCAGGGTCAACTTTTTCTCCTGGGTGTACAGGGAACCCAGTACAGCACAGTTGCATGCTTCAATAAAGTCTTACAGTCCTTACAGTATCTTGCTTGTAAATGTCTGCAGTCTGTAGATGATAAATCAAATCCCTTATACCAGCTCATTGGGCACACACCAAGAACGGCTTTGGTCACCGACAAAGTATTCTAGAGCCAAACTGGCAACAATTTTTTCTGTTAAAGTCTATTATTTTCTATTTTCAAGGTAAGAAGACAGCTAACAGTTGAATTTTTGGATGTTCTACGCCTTTAAGTAGATAGAGTAATGTTCCAGTTTTCAAAGTAACTTCATTGTAAAACTAAAGATAAAAAAGTAACGTGTATTAAACTAGCTAGATAGCTAATTACTTACGTTAACATACAGCGTCTCCACTGACTTGTGGTATGCATGTGAGCATATACATCAATGAAGTAATTATGTGATCATGGGAGAGACTCATGCAGATGAGATGACGTCTGGGTTAAGAAATGGTATGGCCCATTTTAGGGGTGGCTGAAATTGTTTTGCAAGATTCTTTCTGGCATTAATATGGGAAATATCATACTTACAATACCAGGTGGGAAGGATAAGTATAAAAATTTGTCCCACTGGCTGGTGGGACTGGTTTCTACTTCTTTTGGGGGAGTTCAGTCATTATTAGAGTGATCAGAACCCTGCCTCAGTATTCCCGGTAATTCAAACCATGGCCATCACCACAACTGGACCCATTAAGGAGAGATAGCTGATGCCAGCTAGCAACCTGCCTGTGTAAAGTCAGATGAACACTGAGTGTGTTGAGCTGCCAATGATGCAGCAGGTGTGAAATGATAGGAGCAAAAAGTAGCATCTATTTGGAATCAGGGCTAACATTAGCATGCTAAGCCACATATTTTCAACTTTCTGAGTGGAAGCTAGTTAGCCTAACTTAGCTTAATAGTTTCCACTTTCTGAGTTAAACATAGCCTAAACAAAGCAGCAGGATGGGTCCTCCTACATTGTGAATGTGTGTTAAAGCTAATGCTGTGTGCTTTTGGAAGAGTTTTTAGGATACAGGCCTAAAACTTTCTTTAGCCAGCAGCACTGCAGTTAACAGTGCAACTCTAACAACGTCGGGAACTGCCCATTGGTTCGACAGCCCATTGGTTCGACATCCCATTGATCTGACCATATTAAACTCATTGTTCCGAAGTCCGTTCCGAAATCATCATGATGCCCTGTGGTTAAGGTCTGGTTAGGTTTAGGCACAAAAACCACTTGGTTAGGGTCAGGAAAAGATCATGGTGTGGGTTAAAATGAAAAAGAAAGTGGCAAACACATAAGCCGTGAGCCTGCTCCGCCTCAAGCCGGTCGCGGCGCACCATACGCCCGCCGTGAGCCGTTCAGCACCGCGGACAGTCGGACTAGTGGGATGTCGAACCAATGGGCTGTCGAACCAATGACATGGACCCACAACGTCAGCCTGCTGCTATGGGAAATGTTCATCCAGAGGCAGGCCTGAAGCTCTGTTTCCACAAATTTATGCTCTTAGAAAATGGAAAAATCTGCACAAAACCTGCAACATTATTACAGTTTATATAACCCCTACAGAAAGTGAGAAGAATTCAAATTTTAGTCCACCAATGTCACCTCACCAGTCAAAGTCAAATGTGGCAGCACTTGATAAATGAACAGACAGAATGACACAAAAGGGAAGTCAAAAAGAAACACTGAAAAAAGAAGACAGATAATGAAAAACATCCAAGGAGAAACACAGTGATGAAGAAACAGAGGAAGAGACACACAATGAGATTATCTGCAAATTCATCAGCGAGGACGGCTGGAATTGAGCAATTCTCACAGCGTTACTCAACACTGCTGTCAGGCTAAATAGCCCAGTATTGATTTGTGCGTCAGTGATAGTAGCGTGCCACTGCCAACTGAGGGGCATTAGAGCCATGAATGTCTGTAGCCTGATGATGTAGCGCCAGTGTTTCGGCTATAGAGCTAGACAGGCCAAACAGGAGGGGATCCTGCTTGGGTAGCATCAGGTGCACACGAAGTTAACTACACAAAGAAAAAGTGCTACAAGTGAGAGGAAGGTTCTCTTTTTTTTTTGAAAGTGAGTTGAAATCCAACACTCAGTGGCTGACAGCGTTTTTCCTGTAGCAGCTTTATTGTGAGGAAGTATCCTGGAATAACTGTATGTGACCCAGACGTTCATTTTCCAATCATGACATCACAACCCTAAACTATGAGCTTATTAGTGAACGAATAGATAACTGCACAGTGGTTAGGAGGGCATTGTAATGTTATACTGCACAGTGGCAGTGAGAAAAGGATACACATACAGGATATTAACTATTTAAAAACTTGGATTCAGAGAGGCACACACTGCTTCACTTTGACAGTAATTGTTTCTATTCTAAGATGTTGCATTATCATGTTTCTCTACGCTTCATTCATAATGTATTAGGGTTTTTTTTTTTGTTTTTTTTTTTTGAGGAAATGTATTTCTGCGGAAACACTTTCTTTCAAGTGTTCCTAATATAAATGCTGGAGCTCTTCAATGCAGAGAAGCTGAAGTGTAGACTCAATTTACATTACTTGCACTCGAGTCAAACTGGAGTCACGAATTTGATGATTTTAGACTCGACTTGACAAAATTAAACAACAAAAAAAAAGACTTGCAACTTGACTTGGACTCAAACACTAATAATAACTTCACTTGGACTTGAGACTTTTGACTCAAAAATACTTTATACCTTGACCAAAGATTAAAAAGGATATTGTTTTAAAAGTGTGCCACAGATAAATTAATTTCCCTTAATTTACTGAACCAGCTAACATTAATGCTGTTTATTTCCGGCAAGTCAAAAAAAGGGAAAAAAATGGTTCTAAGAGAATTTTGTACCATACAAAAACTACACAGTGGGGGAAAAAAAAAAAAAAAAATTGCAGTATGCAAAACACGCAGGTCGGAAATAGAGATGCATTGACTTCCAAAAAAATATGTTTTAACAAATGGCACATTTTAAAGGGCCAGTGTGTAAAATGGGTTGAAAACTGTTGTAAACTGTGACATCAGTGGTCAAATTCTAGATTGCAGGGCTCACTCGCTCACACCTCCCGTCGGGTAAATGACGGTGGCCTCGTAGGGACAAAAAGCCTTGCGCACGAGTTTTTCAGGAGTAGGTCTATCTAGCGACGAGGTGAATGTTTATTTAGAAATCTAAACCATGTTACGATGTTGTAATGAATCCCTCACGAGCAGGAGACCAGAGGAGCGTTCGGGAAAAAGGCCCGTTTATTTGAGCAGTCCAGAAACTCTGGTAACACTCCACTCCGTCCCAAACTCTGACTCTTCTGGCATAACAGACACACTTCATAACTTTACACACATACTCGTTTACGATACTAAGTGGGGACCGACCCCCCTCCCCTCTCTGCTCCGCCAATCTCCAGCCCGCACACTGACTGACAGGGTAGCCGGTAAACAGTGCTCAGCTGTTTATTTAGCCTAGCAATATCTCCGGACTGTAGTAGCTGCAATGGACGACTTTGAACGCGATTTTGAAGAGTTTCTTGTAGCGGACACAGACCCAGA